CAAAATCTGGAATGGTGCAAAATGAGTGCCTTCATAACATGACGTCATTCTTGGAAAGTTTTGCATGAGAACAATATTTATCTAAACATAATTTCATTTCAGTCATAATTTCATTCATTTCATTTCATTTCATTCAAGCATCTGCCTCAACAGAAGTGCTTTACAAACCTTTCTCCAACCTGGTCCCTTCTAAAAAGATGTTAGGATTACAATTAATACTCAGAATTCTCAGTCAGCCATTCCAGCAACCACACTGGCAGGGAATGTGGGGGGTTTCAGCCTAACACAACTGGAAGGCACGCATTTCAAGGTGGCTGACTTACAGAACATTTCTGGCCCAAATAGGTAGAATCCAATGAAATGTACTGTGTAGTTAGCACTTAACCTATAATTCAGTATATTATAATCTGCTGGCTTCTAGCTGTGACTAATTTTGGAACACAGAGAGATTTAAAGACCCAGCCTGCTCTGAAATGCTGCTTAAAAGGCAGATTTAGAGCTTTGTGAGAGAAGCTAATGAAAAATCAGAGGAAATGTGTGGCCACAGGGGATCTCTGGTCAACAAGAGATCGAGAGAAGAAACTACATCAGACAAATGATCATTAAAACTTTCATTGCACTATTGCAAGGCAAAAGAGATGTGGCATTCCCATTCCTCTCCCCTTCTCTTTTCTCTTTTTGATGTTTGGTTTTTGTTTGTGTTTTTAAAAAAATTAAATTGTGGCAGGGAAATTAATGCACAAGCTCTAAGGCTGATATATCCCTTTCCTTCATTTCAGGGGTATTTTAGGGAAATTGTTGGGCTTTAGGTCTAGAGAACTTACAGCAGCTATGTATGCCATAGGCATACAGTAGAAGTTACGATGATGTTCCATGTTTCATGAGTTCATTCTGTAAATGACACAAATTATGTCATTTATCTCAGTTACAACTGATGCAGATTACAATGTTTGATGATTTGTACAACAGTCTCATGATGCTAGCAAGGTCACTTGCCCCCCTTGTCCCCTGCAGATGCTCATGCCTGATACATCCTTCAGATGCTCTTGTTTTGCTTTCTCTGACACTGGCAGGCCTTTCCGCTATCATTGTGAAGAGACTTTCAGGAACAGAACTCCCACTCCATTCATGGTGAGAGGGAACTCCAAGATCCTATGGCCCCTGATATCGGTTCCTCATGGCCCTTCAATGTTATATTTCAGTGTTTAGAAATGTTCTAATCTGATTCTGTGGCTTTCCTGGAAAAGAAGAGGAAGAGATGAATATGGAAAACCAAGGCATCACAAAACACAATTGTTCTGGAAGGGCATGGCAGCACATGGCTTGGAGGAACATAAAACTGCATTCTTGTTAAGAAACCTCTTTGGCCACCTGTGATCCTCAGGGTATTTTGTTTTGATTTCTTGTGGGACAGAAACACAAGCTGATATTTAGCTCTTTACTTTCAATAATGGTTTTCATTTACAATAAAAGGGTTAGAATAATCTCCTCCTGTCTCTTCCAATATAAAAGTTGTATTGCTCAATATTACACAGGCTGTAGTCCCATTGTGTCTCACTCACTACAAAAGTGTGAAAGTATGCATTTTCCACTCTCATTGATTTTCCATCTCAGCTTCAGCTTTGTTTTCTGCTTTTTGTTTTCCTTTAAGAACATATTGTATGCAGGTTAGGAATAGAATAGTCCTATGACCCTTTTGTATGCATGTATATATTTATGAGATTTATCCACCCCTCAATTTAAATGGACTCTAGGCAGCTACTTATTATTTATTTTATGCTTTTGTATTCCTCAACTATATGTAATAGAAACAAAAAGACAAAAAAGTCCACCTCTCAGTGCCCGTTGATCCAGTATAGATATGGCCACATTTTCTCAGCCTCAGTCTGATTTCAGTCTGCCTTTGAAAATCCATTACAAAAAGTAAAGTGGAATCATCTGAAGTTGATTTTAAAGGTCACTAAAGCATCTCCATCTGGGTTGAAACTCTACATTCTCATTAGGGATGAAGACAAAAAAAAGTGAATTCAAACTAGAGCTGTGCTAAAAGTCAGCTTAACATTTTCAGTACACTGAATTTTAGATGATTTTTCAGTGTTTCCAGTCGCAGGGAGATCTATCTATCATCTATCATCTATCTATCTGTCTGTCTGTCTGTCATCTCTCTCTCTCTCTCTCTCTCTCTCATCTTTTAATCAGTCATACACAGTGAGATTATAACCCCCATCCTGGATTTTGTAAGGCCAGGTTGTATTTCTGATTTTTTTTTTTTTCCAGTGAGTTCTGCATTGGGCCTACAACACTGCTTATGGCTGGGGTATATTTCACATCTTTGTCTAGTCCTTGCCTGGTCCTGGAGTGTGACATTGACTGATTAAGATGGTCTTGTTTCTACTGAATACAGGAACATAACTCTACATGGCAGATAGAAGCAAGATATAGGGCTTTGTTGTGCTTAGGACTGACTCCTTATTATATGGCTGTTTAGTGAAAAAGAAGCATGCATTGTTAGATTTTTTAAATATAATTTTTATTAAAGAGGTTTTTTACAAAGTTAAAAGGTAAACATGAACAAAATAGAAAAAAGTAAGTAAGAAAGTTAAAGAAAAAAGTAAAAACAATGGAAAGTGAAGAGAAAGAAAAAGAAAACAAAAAAATTCTTAAAGAAGCAATTTCTGATCTTCTTTATAGCAGTTATAGACTTACTTGAAACTGTTTCCCACCTTCTAAATTACAAAACATGATTCTCTTTTCCCCATATTCAACCCTTATTAATTGATAAATCCAGAAATCACCAGTTCATTTTTATCCATTTTCAGCAAAAAGTCCATAAAGGGTTTCCAGTACATGATTCTCTTTTCCCCATATTCAACCCTTATTAATTGATAAATCCAGAAATCAACATGATTCTCTTTTCCCCATATTCAACCCTTATTAATTGATAAATCCAGAAATCACCAGTTCATTTTTATCCATTTTCAGCAAAAAGTCCATAAAGGGTTTCCAGTCTTTTATAAAAGTAGTTGGAGTTCCTTTCCTAATCAAACAAGTCAATGCATTGTTAGAAATTGTTGATGTTATTCTGTGTTCCTACAACTTTTTTATGCTGTCAGTATCATAAAATATTTGTAACGTTTTATTTAAGAAATAAGGAATAAAGAGAGATGAAATGCTTAGCTGATATCAACAGGGAAATAACAAGCTAAGATTGAGAGGGCACTGTAGGAAGTACAGTGAAAAGCTTTGAAGGACAGGGGGAAGATCCACTGCCAAGGCAACAATCAAATAAACGAGGCTTGAGCACAGACTAAGAAAGTGGCTTATGAAAACAGCCCCCCCCCCCCCCCAATTCACATGAAGATAAAAAAAGGAGGAAGTGAAGCACATTCAGACTTGCAAGATTCTATTATTCTAGCTGTTCTAATAAAAGTAGCTTTAGGTCTACACAGTGTCGGTTTCTTAGTGTGGTTGACCTTATAGGGCTGACATAAATCTTGCAAGTCTAGTTGACTATTAGAAACTGCTTTGGACAGATGATTGTAGCTGGGGTGGGGGGATGTCACAAGACAGGGAATGATTAATAATCACTATCACTGTTGCATTTTTACTCTGATGGAAGGTCCTCATGGGATTTTCTATCTCAAGTGTAAACATGTTATCATCGTTGGTTATTGTGTAATTGGAAGAGGAGATAGTAGTGCCATTCACTGTTCTGTCTTATGCAGCAAACTTTTTTTAGACAAACATGGATGTGATATTTCAGGATAGAGGAAGATAGGTTTCACTACGGGAGTTCAGTAACCAAAACAGTTCAGGGAGAAGTGAAAACAAACCATATTTTCTCTGTGTGAAATCATCTCTTATAGCTAAAAAAGTATGTCCCTTGATCATGAGTTGTACAAAATGGAGATGGATTACTACCATTAGAGGAAAATGGCACCAAAGCTATTTCAGCAAAGATGACCAGGGAGGGAGGGTGTTAAAAGAAGAAAAACTTTCTGTTCCTGTCTGGAAGTGCAACTCCCCTCCCCTTCAAAAGGAGAACATCTGAATGTCTGCAACCCACTATAAACAGGCAAAACCATAACCCAGAGGGAGAATGGAACTGCAATGTTAGAGATGCACTTTCTGGCTACCATAATTTAATAATATCCAGCATCTTCTACTATTGCTTGCTTAATATAATAGAATGCCTCAATCAAGTCTTCAGGTCAAATCACAATGAAAGATTCGTTTTTAAGGCTGTGCAGTGTTTTGGATTCAGTTCCCAAAAGTCACTTTAGAGCACACAGGGACACAATGGCAGCACCTGTCCGCAACCCCTTAAAGCAGCCATGCCTTCTTGCAATCCTGATGAAAGAAGAGGCTGCTTTAAAGAATTGCAGACAAGTGCTATGCTTGTAGTCACTGAAACAACTTTTTGGAACTGAGTTTGAACCTTTGCATAGCTGTATTATGGGGAAATCAAAAGAAAAAAACAGAAAGGAATAAGAAATTGCAGGCATAAAGGGATGTTTCCTACTTCTGATGTTGTATGTAACATGTAAGAACACAGGGGCATCCTCAGCAATGTTTACTGGGTTCAAAATGCCCTGCCCCTTTTATGTGCATGCAATGTGTGCAATTGGCATTAAAAAGGGCCAGGGCTTTGATTGCTCAGTTGCACTCACCATTTGGAAACCAAGTGGGAGGAACCATCACGGTGGAGGACAACATAAGCTCTGGATTTGATCAAAGACCTCTTTAGTCCAGCATCCTATTTCCACAGCATTCAATCAAATGCTCTTTTTGAACCTCAAAGTAGGCCACGAGGGCAACACGCTTTTCAGTTTTGTCTCCCAGCAATTAAAATTGAATGGTTTCCTACTCCAATCTTGGAGGCAATATGTAGACATCATGATTAGTCATCACTTACTTTTCTCCTTTTAAAGTTATTCAGGTTAGTAGCATAACTTTTACAAGATGATAGTAAGAATGGATTACATTGAAGGGTCACTTACCCTGGGATCTTTCTGTAAGTGAAGTTGGTGCAGAAGACTTCTCCGCCTTCGACTTTTGGCCAAACCATTATGGAAAAAGTGGTACCCATCCTCTATAAAGGGAAGCTGAATAAAAAAAAAAAAATGACATTGGAATCTTTAGACTTACTGTTTGGGCTAGCCACATTGGCATAAATTACATTATATTTTCTGTTCATGGTAGTTAAACTTGCAGTTGTTAGAAGTATCTCAAATTACCTAATATATAAGGACAGAAGAAAGAAAACAAATGTTGGTAAGCTTACACTTACAAAAAATGAAAATTTATGGGAAAAAGTGAATTTTGTACATTTACAAAAATGTACAGTTTACAACAAAACATCTATACCTCTATAGATATACATAGCTAGGGCAACAAAGTAGTTTGCACCTACATAAAAGAGATAATCACTTGCTCAAGCTGAGCTAATTTCCTGGTAACTTCATGGAGACGTCCATATAATTTCTCAGCAATGATAGAGAACTAGTTTGTCATTGCCTTTGTTCCAGGTTATCTTATAGCCTTGGAATTTCTGGCATTTTTCTATCCAATTCCTAACCAGGTCCAATCCTATTTAGTTCTTTCAGGGACCACCTAAGGTTGGCTTGGTATTGTCATCTCCATCTCCATAATAAATCATTTTTGCTTTCATAATTGTGTATATTTGCTTATGATCTAAAAGTTGAAGGGGAAAATAAGAGTAAGCAAGGGACAATACACGATCAATAAAATTGCGCATACTTCAGAGTCATAGTAAAGGCTAGTCAGATAACAATTGTAATTACAAAGCTATAGGAGGGCTTTATATGGCAACACTCTTCAGCAAATCTAGAGGGCACTAGTTTGGGGAAAGCTTCTATACAGTTATGCTGGTATAAGTGACACTCTGGTGACCAAAAAAACCTCAGTCAACAGCTTAGGTGTCTGTGCAAGCCACAATGAGGTCCCATCTACCATGTCATCATGCCATCATTAATTATCCCCCAGATGGCATCATTTGTATCTTCTCCATGCCATGATGCATGTGGTGCCACTTGGCTTCCTTCATCCACTGTGAGGATACCCATGATAGACAGGTGACTCTTTTCTAGCCCTGCCCTTTTCTATCCATCTCTGTGCACCTAGTAGCTCTGCTTCCAGAATGTCACATTGGAGGGCTGGTGTGCATTCCTGCCATGCAAACATTACCAAGAACCACTTTACCAGTTGAACATCTGGGCTGATTCAGGAATGCCACATGTTAAGTCATTATCCATGGATAGCAAGGCTTCTCCTTATTGTATTACTGATGCTTGTAAGATCAGCCCATTAGTTAGCAACTGCTGCTTCTTTCTATAATTGAACTTGAAACTGCTGCTACTAAGTGGAATCCTTAGACTATCATTTCAGCAATCAGCTGCCAATGTAGATGGATGGTTCCTTACTGGTTGCCCTGGAAGAGGCCATCAGGGAGGGATGAAGTAAATCTGTATCACTTCTATTTCTCCCACCCGGTGACTTCTTAAAAAGTAATTGTGTACAGGGAGGCAGAGAGGAGAGAAGTCCTAGGCTGCCAAACTTGGGAAGTCACTACGTTAGAAAAATAAATCTGTGAATTTGCCTTGAGAAACTGCAGCAGAGAAAATCAGCACAAATTAATGGAATAAGAATGGGGGAGGGTAGATTGCATAAGGATGTGGGAATAGAGAATAGATAGATTATATATTTTTATTGCTAAACAATAGAATACCTGTATTAAAAAGTACTGGCTTCTTAAAAGAAAAGAACACTTAAGACAACTGCAACAGGCACCCATGGTTTAAATGGAAGGGGATGACATGAGGCATGAGAAACTGAACAAAAAGGAGAAATCCATGGGGCAGGGAGCAGCCCTCAGTCTAAGCTGCTCCAAGTTTCCTAGCTCAGCGAGACTCAGTCCCACTGAAGGGTATCCATGTTCCCACTTTTATTTCAACAACCAGTTTAGGTTTCCTCTCTTAAAGATCTAAATCATTCTGAAGGCCAGGTTTGAATGAACCCCATTTTATCAATCCCACAGTCCCTATATAGGCTATAAATGTGTTGCATATAAATCTTCCTATGCTATTGGTGGTTTATATATTCCTCCGTAGTATTTGTTAGATAGGATTAATATGCGGGTCCTGGGAGGTATCTCATGTTTTACAGCTCCAGTAGAGCAAGGTCTGCTTGGCATGCATCTGAAATTTTGTTTTTTCATTCTACTTATCACACCCAGCAAGATGCCTTTGAAAACTGGACCCTCAAATTATTCCTTACAGTTCCTTCCTGGCTGATAAGCATAAGCAGGGACATTACATAATAAGAGGCTAGAAGAATAACCCATCACATTCTCTGCATTGCTGGTACCCTGAAGAAACCTCCTGATATCTAACTGGGAGGCATAAGATACGTATATTCTCTCTCAGGATGGATTCCATGCATCTAATCTAGGGGGTTTTAGTCCATACCATTTTCTACCAGCTACCCCCCCTTGCCCCCGCCCCCCCCCCCCGCCCTCTCCAAACTCTGACTCCCAGAATGCCAAGCTTGACTTTTGAACAAGCAAGTAAGACTTTATGGACTAACTTCATCATAGTGGGTTGGCCACAAGTTAGAGAAAGCAGATTAATGCCTCAAAGGAAAAAAAAAATGGGGGGGGGGAGCAGTTTTTAGGCTGCAGAAAGCTCTCACATGTTTTTGTTTGGTTCTACTTTTAGTGTTTTTTGTTCCTCAGTTTTGCTTACAGAGCTATCTCTCCAGAGATTGGGATGCAACCTTCAGTAATGAAATGGCCCATATCACTCAAATATTTACAGAATTGCTGGGCAGGTCTGCATACTGTAACATTCATGTTTGTGGAGCACAACCCAGCATGAATGGTAGCTATCCTTGCTTCTCAAAAAGATGACATTGAGTGTTTACAGACATGCCTCACGTCAGAAATTATGAGATCAATTGCCAGTGAGACAATTCTGCTTCAAGCTAGATTTCTGAGATTCTTTGCTTCCTGACTTGATAGGGGTAAGTACTGGATCAAGAAAGAAAGCTTTAAACTCCTTAATAGTCAAAAATTACCTCATGGCAACTACATTGATTGAGAACTTACAAATAAATGTTGAGGAAATGCTCAGGTAAGTAGCTGGTATACTTTTCTTTCCCCACCAAACTAGAGATGATGTAATCTAAGTCATGTTTTTAGAAAGTAGGGGAGGGAAGCACTTTGAGATGAGAAGGGTCAAAAGGAAAGAGGGTGAGGTTGGAGTTTTTTTATTTCTGTTTTCCAGAAACATCTGGGAATAACGGACTCTCTCCGTAGAATTGCTTCTATTCAGACACCCGTATTTGGGTGTAAATATATATATAATAGTAGCATCACAAGCCCCAAATTATCTCCTTCTAAAAGCACCAAACCCAGGTAGTGCATCCCTGGAATTTCTACACTTTGGGGGGAAGTAAAGTGTTCTTCTTGATACTTCTCGTAACCATGAGAGTATTCATCATTTATTCTGTGTATGCTAACTGGAAATTTGTATTGCTTTTGGATCTGATCAGATTTTTTTACTTGGCTCTTGTTCAGATCAAAGTCAAGGAACTGTGGTCCTAGAAGATTTTCCCCTTGAAAAACTGTCTACAGGCAGAGAGGTTACCCTGGATCCACCCTATATTTATTATATATTTATTTATTAAATTTTATGGATGCTCTTCTCAGTGTCATGACTCTGGGCAGCTAACAATTAAAAACAGAATAAAACTTAATTATGTCAGGCGTTGCCTTTCTTGTGCTAGGAAAAAATGGGTGGGTACAGAAATCTTTTCTAAGGCTAGTCTCTCTTCAAGCTTGAAAGAGTGAAAAGTTGGGTTGCTGGAACCTCACTGCTGACACACGTCTTTTAGACAGGCTGCTAAGATTGAGGTAGAAAGCATGTGCATTCTTCCATCAGGCTGCTCTGACAGAACAGTTTCATCTGTGCTGAACATCTCTATGCACTTTCTTACTCGGTATAATTCACATCTGCCTGCTTAGCTGCTCCTCTCCATTTTTATCAGTGTTATTCTGCAATCTTCTTTCAAATTATGACAATAAAAAGGAGAGTGACCTACCTGACTATCTCCTAATGAAACACTCCTGATCTATTTTGCACAATGAGAAATGTGGGAGGCAGGGATTAATGTGGTTGTACAGTATTGTACGAAATGATTACCTTGAAAAAATGCATCGGCATATCTTTTTTGGTACCTCTGAAAAGCCACAGCAGTCTTTCTAATTTTTCCATTCCCTAGTCTTTGAACGAGACCCTCCAGTTATCACATCACTAATGCAAGACTGCCTTTGACATCCTCAGACACTGTTTTGTAAGTGGTTGCTTTCTTTATATAATTATCGCTGTCTATACCTTATTTCATGTGATGCGTGCTTCTATACCATACATCAGGAGTGTATCTATATGCCTTGGACAGGATAATACTTCATGCCTCGGTTGTAGTGACTCTGATCCAGGAAAGCTTTTGCAGCACCTGCAATGCAACTGGTGCCCTTTAAGATGCCAGAAGACTCTGTTATTTCCTTCCACAAACTAATAGGATGCTACCCCTCTGAAAACTGTTAAATATCTTGTGATTTAAATTAAAAGTACTTCAAAAAAAAGTAGATGTTTGTAATTGTCTTTAGCAACATGTATTAAATCCAGACATCAGGCTTAATTTAATAATTTGAATAGGCACATTTAAAAAAAACCCAAACAGAACTAGGGCCAGTCAACATGCTGCACTGCTTATCAGCCAGTTAACTCTTAATACTGATTTCTGTCTAGCTGGTTAAAATCTGGTGTGTGTGTGCATGTGTGTTTGGTATTTTATTTTAATTCAGTTTTATTGTCTTGTAAGTGTTATTACATTGCAACATTCTACCGTTATGAATACAAAGCCTAGGGAATAAAAAAAGGGGGGCACTTAATGTATAGCTTAATGTCTTTATTGTAATTGTTTCATTGTTATTTTTTCTGTGTTTGTATGTTGTGAAATCCACCCTGATTGCTCATTGGAAGGACTGATAATGAAGCTCAAGCTCAGATACTTTGACCACCTA